AGTGAAGAATCAAGTTTGTAGAAATCACTAACACTGTCCTGGGGGTAATGTGGGGGTGGGGGCTACATTAGGATGTCACAGTTTTACAAAAAATCTGCTGCTGAAAATCAGCAGGGCCTTAGTTACTAAGGTGAATATTTTGTGGTCCATTGAACTCGCGCAAATTTTAAAATTACCATATACATGTACTCAGCAAATTCTATGATTTCAAAGGCTCTTTCTACAGTGTTATTGATCTATTTATCAAATGATGTGTAAGCTTCAAGCTAGTAAATATCTATTCACATATGATTTTCACAGAAAGTGAAAATATAGAGAAAATCAAGAGTTTAGATGAACAGAAGAGGGTTTTCACAAACTTATGGATTGATTTCTTACAATTAAAGGTTAGTTACAAATTGTTTTGCATCAGTTATTATTTGAACATGGATTCTTTTTACAACTGTGTAATTATAAATGTATGTAATTCAGGAATATTTATTATTACTTTGGACACTGAAAAGTTGTTCCAATGTATCCATACATTTTTATTTTGGATGTTCATAAAGTATAATTATGATGTGATTTGATTTTAAATAAGTCTTTGTACATTGATACTTTTTTCCCTAATGGTTTTAGCTTCCGAACTCTGTATATAAGAAAGTATTAATCATTCTTCATGATAAAGTTATGCCACACCTGACAAATCCCCTGTACTTGAGTGATTTCCTAACAGCTTCCTATGATGTGGGTAAGTGAAAGTCAATGTATTTTTATGAATTTTATGCTTCTCAAAATCTGGTTAATTTTAGAGTATCGTTTTGCATCAGAAAATATGCAGTATTTAGCTCAATAACACCACCTTCTTTACTGAAAGGCGTTAGACCAAAAAAAAACCAAATCCTAAATTTGTAGTAAATTTTAATCTGCATGCTTGTCAAATTTTTCAAAATTGTAATTAAACTAAGTGATTAATTTTTGGAAAAAAAAAAGTTATACATGTACATAAATCTCATGAAAATATTTCATCTTATTTAGTTGAGGGATGTATGACAAACAGGTCCAATAGTCAGTATACTGTATGCGTACTTTAAAAAGTGGACTTCTTATTTTAGCAGCTTTGGCGCAGAAAACAATGCGCTAATTCCGCTAAGAAATCATTTACATATATAATACACTGAACGGAGGTGTAGTGCTAAGTTATGATTATGCCAACAACTTCATACCCAGTGTTTACGCTAAATTTTGAATACCTTACACCAAATTATATACAAGTACAGTATCCTATATTTTATTTTCTTTGACTTCATGCATACCTTAAGTCATTAATAAATGTTTTATTGTAAAAAACCAATGATGATCATTATATTCATTTCTTTTGACAGGGGGTGCTATAAGCTTGTTAGCTTTGAATAGCTTGTTCATCTTAGTACATAAACACAACTTGTAAGTTTTCTTGTTTACAGGTATAAATTTATTCTACAATGTTAACAATATTTGAGATTTGTTTAAGATGTACCAAATGAATCTCCGTTTAAACCTCACATTCTGTTCCATTACAGAGATTACCCAGATTTCTATCAGAAGTTGTACGCTTTGTTTGAACCTGGTGTTCTTCATGTGAAATACAGAGCCCGATTTTTCTATCTTGCTGATCTATTTTTATCATCAACGTAAGTTTCAGAATATTAAAATTTTTCAGATCAGAGCAGAATTTCATTGATGTAAATCCATTTCATAATCAAATACATGTAAATGCTTGTAAAATGAAGTCCAAGTAAAAATAAAAATGATTTATAAAGGCCTAGAGTTAATAAATGTTGAAAATGTCTCATTTTTGACCATATATTTCAGACATTTACCAGCTGCGATGGTGGCCGCCTTTGCTAAGAGACTGTCCAGAATCTCTCTGACAGCCCCAGCCAGTGCCCTAATGGTCACCATTCCCTTCATTTATAACCTTATCAGCAGACACCCTAACTGTAAAATCCTCATCCATAGGGAATCTCCCACTGGTAAGTCATGTATATTGATATTTTTTTTTACTCATAGGGAAGTTACCACTAGTAAGTCAAGTCAAATCATGACATCCACAGGGAACTTTCCATTGTAAATCATGTGTTGGATCTTAAGAGTCATAGCAAATCCATCACTGGTATTTTATATGTCATTTTTCCTAACATTTTATATGGAACTTATAAAATACCTCTGGAAAGTCATTATAAAATTCCTTACATTCATAGAGAACCTGCCACCACTGGTAAGTAATTTCTCATTGACAACATGTATATGTGCACCAGCTCAACTTTTACAATTCACTTCCATTACAGAATTGCAGGAGGATCCTTACTGGCCAGAAGAACCAGACCCAGTCAAAAGCAAAGCCATAGAAAGTTCACTGTGGGAACTCAAGGTAAAAAATGAAAAATAAATAGAAAATCTTGATAGAGTTGTGTCCTCTGTGTTTCATTAAAATATGCCATTCATCTGCATACTTTTCTGACATCAATACCATATTAAATCCATTTGATTTTAAAGACCCTGCAGAGCCATTTTCATCCTGATGTGGCTAAGAAGGCACAGAGGATGGACCAGCCCATAACAAAGGAGGAAATTCCTCTGGCAGACCTGCTGGAAACCTCATACAATGATGTAAGGATAATCACATTTTCTAAAAATCAAATTTACCAACAACATGCAAAAATTCCTTCAAATCTCTGAGGAAGTGTAAATGTTACTGTGACTCAATGGTAATATGTATAATCTTTGTATTCCAATACAAGACATCTCAGACTTACTTTTGACATGGCTGTTACTGAGTTATAACTACAGTCAATTCTCGAATTATCGCCATTCGATTCATCGCCATTTTCGCAATACCGCCATGATTTCCCAAGAACGTTTTTCCTGCTATATAAAATTCTCTTTATAACGCCAAATTCGCATACCGCCATCCGCCACCCTGTTTTCAAAACAAACGTCCATTTTTAAGTGTTAATTATCTCGATATACCGCCACAGGTGCGTGCGGTCAGTGAAGCGCGGCTAATTGGTTGACGCTATCCCTGTTGTAAAGCATGCAAAGCCAGACAAGGTATACGCAATTAAATAATTAAATTAGAATTAAATGAACAAATGATTTTAATATGAACTGTTACAATGATGTTGTTCTGTTGTTTTGTTTAAAAAATCATTTAGTCACGGCTTCGCCACTAAAGGGGTAGTTGTGAAAGTACGCCGAATACAATATTATTTTGATGATCTCTGCTTTAAACAATGCAAAGTTTGCCTAAAAATAATTATACGGTATAAATTGTGAAAGTTTCACTAACAATGATGCCATAAACAATAAATTTCTTCAAGAAACCATTTTACGTACTGTCAGCAATATATCACGACGATCGACCCAGCATGTTTTTTTTTTTCAATATAAGACGTGCCGATTTACATGTACATAGATACACATGTACTTGCCTTTATTTCATAACTGCACATTTTGTTTTCAAAAAATTGTACATAAAAAATTACTTGAAGTATTTTAAAATTTAGAAATATGTTTTATATACATGTACATGCAATTATAAGAATAGAAACGCTTTATGGTATTTCTAAGAACGGTAACTCTACTTCTTGTTTCCTAAAAGATGGGAAATTCAATTCATCGCCAAATTCGTTATACCGCCATGATTTCTAAATCACAAAGGGTGGCAGTTTATCGAGAATTAACTGTAGTTTCTTCCTAATTAAGGACAAAATGCCCCATTCCAATCAATAAAGTCACTTTTGAAAGATAAATACTGTTCACAACTAAAAAAAAAATTTGCTATTCAAAACTGAGAATCTTTAATAAAATTTTGGTTCTTCCTTTTTAGCTTTTCGTAAAAGAAACCAAGAAGAAAGTAAAGCATGCTCCTATGAACTTTAACCCTCCAAAGGGAATTATGGGACTTTCAAGCGACAAGTTGAATCTGTGCTGGACATTAGAATGAAATTTTTTAATAAATTGTTATTGTTTATTGACTTGATTTTTTATTTTTTCAAAACATTACTTTAACTGTATTTAATAGTAGATTTATGAGCCTAAATATTTTAATGAGGAAATTCTTGTATGGGGGTCATTTGAGTGAAATTTGCAATCATAAGACTCAACAAAATAATCTTTTCAAGTTTTTTTTGTTTTTTTGCTGAATGTATTTAATATTGCCATTGGTGTATAAATCATGCAGACCTGTCATTAGACCTTTTTCATAAGTGTGTAGCTTCAGAACTGTAGAATTATGGTTTTATACATTTCGTCTTTGACCATAACACTACAGATCCCGTAATGCAAAAAAGGTGCAATTTACGATGCAAGATTTTTTTGCACAATTTTTGAGAGAATTTCTCCACTTTCCAGCATTGGTCAATCAACTACCTTTCACTCCTTTAATTCTAGACACATTATGAAATCAATTTGTATATATATTTTATCCACCTCCCAACCCTTTATAGTTGTCTCTACAAGTGATTAACTCTCTTGATTAGAATTTTTTGATGGATTGCTGAAAATTCACCTCAAGCTAGTTTATTGCCTGTAGAGATGAGTATAAAGGGTTGGGAGGATAAAAGACATATATAATACCATAATGCTACAGTTCTGTAGCTAATAAGTGTGATAACTCTTCCTGAAAAATAATCAAGTAGAACAAATAATCAGAGACTGCAATTCTGAAATGCTGCATTAAATAGACCAAGTTGATGCAGGAAAAAACATCTGAACCCCAATTTAGAAAACTTTAAAATCTACTTTCTACTACTTTTGCTTAGCATTCTTGGTGTGGAAGAATATCTAAGAGATATTGGGGAAAAGATTCCTACTTTTGCAAAGGAATTCCACTTGATAATTATGAAACATTTATAGGCTTCCTAAAGATTATAAACATGACCTTGTATTGGAGCATGACATTTCAGTTGATTTGATTGCTTTTTACACAAGAGGAATTAATAAATAACATCAAACTAATTATTACTTGGTCTTTAAAAATATATTAAAATTGAAATATTTCATTGTAACAATAACCTTCTGTTTCATTATTCATTGATAAATAGACAAAACAACAGACATAAAAATACCAGATACATGTGGATTATATCACAGCCACTTTGTGTTTTAAATGAACTGTTCTGACTAATCCAACACAGGAATTGGTCAATTCCTCAAATCCACAAAATCAAGGAATTTTGGAACATAAAAATAGAGCACTTGTTACATTCATTCAGTTCTCAAGAGGCCTGCTGGGGTGTTACTAGAGCATCCTTGTACATAGAAAATCCTAGAATTTCATTGGCAAACATTTCCTCTGTGACATTGACAGGCAGGTTTTGATCTATAATGTCACCAGCGGTGGAAGAGTCAAATTCCTGTAGTTCACTACTGCCTCCCTCGGCATTGAATCCTAGCAGGGTTGTTAGATACTCAGCTAATTCGTACTCTGTCATGTGTTCACCTAAAGAAGAAATGTTTATATTGATTTGTGTATTAGAAATTAATATATTTGGAAATGCAAATGCCAAAGCTTGAAAGGTGATTTGTGAACTTTGTACCAGGTTTGCGTAGTTTCATTCCCTGATACTCAAACAATTGTCTTACAAATTTACATCAAACCATTTCAATTAAGATATAAACATGATCTTCGCTATACAAACATCCAAATCGCTTACTCTTATAAAAGAAAGCAAATCAGAAAGATAGTTAACAAAGATGCTGCATCTGCACATTTCTCATTGATTCAATAGAATAAAACAATGATTTATTATATTCTATTCACCATATTGCAGCTTTATGAATATTTATTGAGTAAATAAACTGCCAACAAATGTCCATACCTTTGGTCTGCAGGAGATCAAGTAGGTATCCCCTCTCGATGGCATTGCCTTGAGTGGAGGGTACACCAAGCGTTTGGAAGGCATGTACGAGTTTCTGTGGATCTAATCCAAACGCTGGTCTATGGTTTATATACACTAACAAAAAAAAAGCAATAGTTGAGCATAAATCACTCACCATTGGTGATGGGTTAATTTCTAAATGGTTTTTGCAGTATTTTGAATTGCATGAGAACATATGGAAGAAAACAGATATGCTTACGCTTGATAAAATCTCCCAGGTCAATATCTTCTACATATTGCCCTGTCTCCACATATCGACTAAACTTCACCTCATTTAACATGTCTTCAATCTGATAATGAAAATGTCATCAAATTAAAATTGTCATAATTCTCCTTTCATTGTAAAGAGTTTTTATATGAGAAAGACTTCAGATTAATCAAAATTTCTTTAATAAGATTGTTCTACTGACCTCTTGTTCTGAGGGGTAGAAACCCATGGCCCTCATAACATAGGGAACCTCTGTGAGGGGAATCTTAACTGACAACTCTCTCCTCTCCATAGCATTCACTCCCTGGCTGTAAAATTCAAACATATACAACATTAAACATGAACAAATGGAATCTTATGAATATAACACAAAACATACCAGCTACAGTATTTTGGCAGGAGCAGTATGTTATAATGAAACAACTACCTTCTGATCTGTGCATAATAGAAGTAATCCTCCAATTCTGCAAACAGCTCCCCTTCCCGACCTCCATCTAGCAGTCCATAGAATGGGATCAGATCCTCTCCTCCCAACTTAGACTGAGCTTCCAAGGCACTATTGTAAAAATCAAAACTAACAGTGATTCTCATGTACAAATCTGAGGTAGACCATTTGAAAATTTACCTCTTAAAATTGATGGAAAATTTTTGTGTTAGTTTTATATCCATGTAAATTTTCATTTCACAATTCTCTTAATTATGCCTCCAATACCAATTATGTTTTTAAATAATTAAAATTTACATCTACAGTTTACACATCCTACTTGAAGCTGTGGATATAAAGCCTTACTTGATATTGATTTCCCACATGTGGACAGATGCATCAGTACCACCAGCAGAAAACAAGTACTTCCCATCATAGCTGCAGACGAGGTTAGAAACCTAAAATGGACAGAATAAATGTTGCTTTACAACAGACACAAACAGAAATTTAGCTTCAAACAACAAAAAGTGACAAAATATTACTAGTATATAAATCAAATGAGAATTTAATCTGCGTACCCCAGCTGGGTGACCAATGAGAGCCATTGCATCATGTGGGTTGCCACACAGAGGGAGGATATGGAGTCCTATTTTGTCATCCGTAATATACGCCAGGTATCGTTTATCTTTGATTGGATCTTTTGTTGGCACGATAGCAATTCTGTGAGAGAGGAAAAAACATCAGTTTATATAAGAAATTTCTTTAAAACATAATCACAACTAAATGTAATCAATAATTTGTTTTAAAATTACTGACAGGTAACGATTTTAATTCAAAATTAAGCAAGAGTTATTTCCCTTAAAATCTCTTTACTTTTTGATGGGAGATCCATAAGTTGGTCCTAGTAATGTCTTCCTGCACATTTTAGTGGTGGCGTTGTATAGTTTGAACTTGTACTGGTCGTTGGTGGTCACTATAAAGTGTTCCTTTGTGATGGGAGGGTACCAGGTCAGACACTGGGGGACAGCACTCTGCTCTATTCTGTCAGAGCTAGTTATCTTAAGGCAGTCCTTTGTGCTGTTTTCCAAATCATATTCAACCTGAAATTAGAACAAATTATGCATATAAATTATCATTTTACAAAAAAAAGTTTACATGAAATGTATAAAATTAATGTATTACATAGTTTATGGGCTATGTATTATGGAGGGTGAAGGGGGAACAGGGAAATATCTGATGACCATAGAAATGATAGTGTTTTTTTTCTGGGCACACCACACTTAATATAAATTACTTGAATATTCCTACTGAATATTTAGGCTAGAATATTTTAAGTACTTCTTATTTTAAGTCCGTCAATCAATCATGTGAAATCTTACCAGCACTCGATCCTTGCCCAGAGACAGGAGCCGGGGCTGGTTAGAATCCAGATGTACCCCAAAGATGATGTCCTGAATGTCTTTGTAATGGGCTCTGTATCTACCCAGGTAACCGTAGGGGTCATCATGGAGGTGTTGTCTCTTAAACACACTGATGGTGTATTCTCCATCCTATATAACAAATATAACAGCATTATATTCACATGTAAATAGACAAATGGAGGGCGAAAATATGCACAAATTAAGGCTTTAATTGACATTAAATTGTATTACTTGAGAAGAAGTAAATTTATTGAATCTGAAAATGTTATTTACAGAGGTATAAAGATCTAAACAATGATCAGTGCAAGAAAGCAACAAGATTGTGTACTTCTTACAGATGACATTGTAGATACTTACAGCTGTAGCCAGGTACTGTGAATTGTGGGAGAACGCTATATGAGTGATACTGTATCTAGCATATCTAAAGGGTTCTGCTGTCTGGTCTTCTAGTGTGATGGAGTCTAAAACTCTCACAGATCCATTAACAAAACCAACAGCTGAAAAATGAAAACAATCAGTTAAACAATTTTTTAATAAAGAGTTTTCTGAACTTGAAAGTATTTGATTTTTTAAAATCAATTGTAGACTTACCTATATAAGCTCCCTTGGGATCAAATGCACAGCATCTGATCAAGCTGTTTTTATCAAACTGTCTGGAGACCATCACTTGTCTGAAAATGGTTTAGATTTATTTAAGAAAATATACATTTATTTAATACAGATCAACAATTTGAATCTGAATTCAAATAAAGGCAGAAAACTTACTTGTTTTCATAATCCCAAATTTTCAGAAGTCCAGAATAGCTTCCAATCACAACATAAGGCCTGAAATGGGAGGGGAAAGGGGAAAAATCATAAATGAGGTTATAAACATATTTTTAATGTTCCATCTTATTATTAACTGTAATCTGGATTGATTACTAAATACTTCACTATCTCTTATGATTCATGAATTATTAGAAATACTGTAGATCACTAAATTTTCGAGACACCTTATTTTCACGAGATAGTCATCGTCTCTTGATAAGCGAGACAAAATTTCCACGAATTGTGGTTATTGTTTTATACAATCCTAAGGAATACTATTATTCATGAGAATAAAATTTTTGCCAGCACACTGTCTCACGTAATTACGTGAAAATAAAGTTCTAGCAAATAAAAAGTGATTTACAGTACATATAATATTTTGGCTCTTCAATATTTTCCTACTTACATTGATGGATGTGAAGCCAGTGCATGGATAGCAGAATCATGCTCTCTGTGAATGACCTTCACCTTCGTTCCATCAGCTGTTACACTTCCAAATATGGCAATACTGCTCCCCACTACAAAGTCTTTGATGACAAATTTTCTGGCTTCTATTGTAGCATCAGGAGGATAATTTGTTCCTTCTTTTGCACTAAAAAAAGTTAAATGGCATAACTTCTACATACAACAGTTTCTTTAAAATTCTGTGCAAGTTTTTTGGAAAATTGCTTTTTATCTTTTATTTTATTTATCCGGTACTTTTTTCTTAAGTTTTGAAATCAACAAATTTATCTTAAATTCATACTTACACTGGTTCAAAATTGGGATAAAATGCAAAAGTAATGGAGGTCACTGGTCCTAAGTGAAAGTCCTGATACCTAAAAAATTACAAAGATAATATTAAACTAAAATATATACCAAAACAATTAATACAATATGAATACAACAAATGTTTCAGATGAGAGGAAATTCTACTTACCAATGAACAAGTTTTAAACTCTGATCAAAGAACTTCACATGGCCAGCCATATCTCCAACAACAATGAAACTACAAAAAGAATGATACATGAAAATGTTGTCAAAATTATTACAATTAATATAAAGATGTTTTTTTTTTAAACATTATGTATGAAATATTAAAAGAGCATCAAGAAACTCTCTTAAAATAAATATAATTTTTAATAAATTGAAATATTACTTTTCTGTTGTAGTGAGAACATTGATTCCTCTCTCCTGAAGTCTGATGATCTTTAATGCTTTCTTATCTGCAGAGGGCTGGGCATTTTTTACTGTGAAAAAAAATCATTACTTTTATCCCAAAACTTTATCCTCTTTAATAGTTTGTAGGTATGCAGGTACTGGTCAAGGGATTTTGTAGAGTAGAAAATAATGAATAACATTTTTATTTACACTTAGTGAGGGGTTTGTTGGTGTCCCAGACCACTAGATTCCCTATAGAGGTGGACGTTAGTACCCTTGTACTGTTTTTCTGGAAGATGGACTGACTGTAGCGACCCACGGGTTTGTTGAAGTCCTGGTCTGTCAGCGGAGGTGCAAAATATTCCATGTGATTGTCACTCTGAAAGAACAGTGATTAAGTTATGAAATATACATTTGAAATTTACATCAATATGAAATCTTACAACATACAAATTAATATTTTTTTTACAATAGTTCATGTAGAACTTACCCACTGATAGAAAATAACTTGGGAGTCACTATTTGACACAAGAAAATGAATGTCATCAGGATTAAAGTGAATGAATGACTGTACACCATAGCTTGGGTTTAATTCTGCAGTACACAGCGGAGTATCGCCATCCACCGTCCAGTTCCAAATAGACAAGACCTATAGGTAAGTAATTCATTACAGTAACATGCTATATTCTGTACAAACATAGAGTTTTATGATAATGAGAATTTAAACATCATTTAGCTTTTTTATGACTTTTGAACATGTAATATTAAGGCAAGTATGTATGCTACGATGGAATCATATTCGTTATTATAACCAGGGTGCAGTTTTTAGCCTAAATATTTTTTTTTTCTTTTTTCACATTCAGCCTTACCTGTGTTGGTGCTGCACTCAGTGTTGCCAGATATCTTGCATCTGGTGTCATTGCCATGGCAACAACACCTCCATTTGGGTTGGTATCAAAAATGGTTTGCACAGGTACTCTGAATTTGAAAACAGAATTTTTTATTATTTATGCACTTTTTCTGAGCTAAGAAAATGAGATCAAATGAATGTATTATGATACCTTCTAATATAAATGCAAAACAATTTACACATTATCTTCACTTTCTTGTTAACATCAGTATTTACAAAATAAAACATCCTCTGATATTTACCCTGTGTATGTGTCCCACACAATGACTGTTGCGTCTTGACCTTTGTCTCCAGTTGCCAACCATCTCTTGTCTTCACTCACACAGGTACTGGTCAAGGGATTTATCTACATAACATGTACATTTTAATAAGAAAGCCATTCACAATGATTTATAATCCTATATTAATGTTGGATAAATTTAGTCTTTATCATTAATTTTGATTTCTTACTTAACAGAAAAATAAACTTTTATTCAATGACTTGTATTACAAAGATCATTTAAGTGCTTGGCTGTAATTTTTAATTTGATCCATTTAGGAATTCTAAGGGCAGAAATACAATTGAAAGAAATACTCAATAAATTTGAAAAACTTACATGTCCTTGTAAAATGTGTTGTCTATTTTTTTCAAAATCATAAAGCACTCCAACATGTGCACATGCATACATAATAAGTTTTCTTGAATTGTCTGTGAGATTTAGGACAGGGATATTTCTGTTTAGACCAAATGACCAAATAACATTCTGAAAAAGCAGGAAATTACATTAAATATATTATAAATGTTTAAAAATGGATAAGAGATTTACTTTTCAGATTGTCATTACATGTGTTATATGCAAGTTTTAAAATGCTAAAACAATTTTTTGCAGAAAATCTGTGACCACAGAAATAGCATATAAAGTAACACCACTTGAAAAAAAAGAGAAAATCAATTGATGAAAATAATATTGATTAAAGTGTATTATTCAGAATACTGTAAATCACTTTTTATTTGTGAGTACTTTATTTTTGCGTAATTACGCGAGTCTGTCTGCTTCTTTATTCTCGCGTATATTTGTATTATTAAAGTTTATATACAACAGAAACCACGACTTGCGAAAATTTTGTCTCGTTAATAAATACCAAATAGCTTAGTCGCGAAAATAAGGTGTAGCGAAAATATAGTGATCTACAGTATATGCTAAACCATTTTAACTTACTAGAGCAGTAGTTGACATTGTCCCTTCAAGTCCTTCACCAGTAACCTCGGATTTTTCTGGTGATGGAATCTTTGGTGCAGTAGGAATAACAGCTGGTGCATCCTGTCCTTGACCCTGATCTTGGACAGTCTCTGTGTTGGGTGGAGGGGACGGCAATTTAACTGATTGTTGTGTGTCAACTGTTTGCTGTTCACTTTGTGCACCTGTTTCAGTACCTCCCTCTGGTGATCTTCTATCCGAGGCAGGCTCAGCTGCTTTTTCCTCCTCTTGTTTACTTTCTGATTCTGCAGTTTTGGGTGGTTCTGCCTCTTTTTCCTCTTTCTGGGTTTCTTCTTGTTTTTCAGGCTCCTCTGTTTCTGTTTTGGGTTCAGCTTGATCAGGTTTAGTTTCTTCTGTTACCTCCTTTTCTTCGTTAGGTTTTTGTTCTGTTGTTTCTTCATCCTTTGGTGCAGTGTCCTCCGCTTGTTTCTCTCCAGCTGGAGATGGCGCCTTCTCAGCAGCCTCATCTTTATCTTGAACAGGACTCTTCTTTCCCTCCTCGTCTGCCATTGTCACTAACTAATTTGAATCAAGACAAACATAAATAGTTTACGAATTAATCAATGTTTGATAAAAGTGAGAAAAATGCATTTAAAACGCTAATTCTTCAACATCAACTTACTGGTGCTTTGCCTGCCTTAGCAACACTGTTTACATCTAATTGCGCATGCGTATATACCATAAATAAGATTGTTTTAATTTTTACGACATTAATCGCATATCATTTTTTCAATTTATGTCAATCATTAAAAATACTGATTTAATAAGATAGTTTATTATGGCATAGTTTTACGTGTTTGGTATTCTGATTCCAAAAATTATTTCTAGATAATGAACCTTATCTTTTTTACGGTAGTTGTAATATATTCGGAACTCATCTAATTTTATCATTGCGTGATGGAGGAGCCTGAGGAAATAAATAAGGATGGAAACTGACTGGGAAACATTGAGAGAATATGCCGTGACTAGTGCATATTATTTTGTAATTTTTTCATTGGTCGTTTATCTTTTTGTTGGATTTCTTGGACGCCTATCAATCACACCAAAAGTTCCCATTTCTGTGCAGAAAGTGCTGATTATCACTGCCCATCCAGATGATGAGTGCATGTTTTTCTCCCCCACCATCCAATCGTTAATAAACTCAGGGCATTTTGTTCACGTCTTGTGTCTTTCTAATGGTATGTGTGTTTGGGTAGAAAATATTTATTTGCATTTACATGCATTCATTTACTTTGTTAAATCGTTTAATCTTGCTCTGCATGCCAAACACCTTAGTTCTGCCTCCTTAAATCATGTTATCTGTTGATATGAATGAATGCCTTTATTCCCCAGAAACATGTTGTCACATTACGTTATTAATTTATGGACAGTAGAGCTTGTCATTTACTTATTCAATAAACATTTTCGGAATCTTGATCATTGATCAGTAAACTGCATAGCTGCAGATCTGTAGCGTTATGGTTTATTTGTATAGTAGTCTTTGGCCATAATGCTACAGATCCCGTAATGCAAAAAATGTGCAATATATGGTGCAATATTTTTTGCGCACTTTTGGGGAGAATTTCTCCACTTTCTAGTAATGGGTAATCATTAATCAACTACCTTTCACTCCCTAATTCTAAACACATTCTGTAGCCAACATGTATATTTATTCACATCCCACCCAGTTATATTTGTCTCTACAGGAAATAAACTCGCTTGAAGTAAATTTTCAGCAATCTAACATATAATTTTTAATCAAGCGAGTTTATCACTTGCAGAGACGACTATATAGGGTAGTTAGATGGATAAAATATACAGCTTAGTTAAATAACGTGCCTAGAATTAGGGAGTGAAAGGTAGTTAATTGACCGATGCTGGAAAGTGAAGAAATGCTCCCCAAAAGCTATAAACTGCAGAGCTCTAATAAAAACTTCTCTTTAAGGCCTAATTGTATTCCCACTAGTTCACTACAACTGTACACTGAATACTGATGCAACACTAAGCTAATAAAAATTTCAGTTTGATTGAAATGAATTTGAGGATTATTAGATCATTTTGATATTGTGTATTTTTGCTATTGAAATTAATATTTGAATTTCCTAAATGATCCCAATAATGAATATTATATATTTTTCTCTTTTAGAGATTCTATGAATTTAATTTTATTTGGTTTTTTTTCTGAAGGAAATTTTTATGGCTTGGGAAAGACCAGATCACTTGAATTATTCAGCAGCTGTGAAACATTAGGTGTTCCACTTAGAAATGTTTATCTATTCAACCACAGGTAACTCTTCAATAAATAAAAAAAAGATTGTAAATAAAGTGTAAATCTGTCACTAAATGTAGATCAAAAAATATGAAAGGAAAATTATTTAGAACTCTTTTCCCTTTTTTAACCATTGCAGTGACTTGCAAGATCATCCTGAACATCCATGGAAAATTAGAGATGTGGAGAAAATCATATTACCTGTCATGTACTACTTACAGCCACACTTGGTAAGTTGTTATATGTTTTATTGTCTACCCCACTCATGTTCACATAGCTAATATGCATTGCGATGCATGTATTTATTTCAATGACAAATGCATAGAATTTTTTTTTTTTTGATGAGTATAGGTCATTTTCATCTTTGTGAATTTTTCTATTGAGCATGTAGAGATTTTCACTTTAAATGTCTTCTGTTTTAGGTCATAACATTTGATAATTATGGTGTAAGTGGTCACAGTAATCACATCTCAATTCATGATGCTCTACAGTAAGTTTTTTTCCTCTTTGTTTTCCCTGCTTAATATTCTCATATAGGCCTCAACAATATTGATATTTTTCAAAAATGTACCAATTAGTTGAAACTAACTCGGTAATCTATTAAGTGAACTATCAGTAATTTTAACAAATTAAAATTTTCATTCTCCACACCATAATTTAAATTAAACAATATGAAAAACTACATCTGTAGCAGTAATTTATTTTTAAAATATGTTATTGGTGGTTTTATATTGACAATTAATTCATCCACTTCAAATTTCAAAGAGAAGTTGACTGCCCTTGTTGCTAGCACTCTCGAGCGCTAGCAACTACGTTAGTCCAAATTCCTTGAATACGCATGCTCGGCTTCATGGTGGTGCATTCTAGGAAAACTGTGAAAACTACTATAGATAGACCGTATGATAACAATTTCGTTGTATCATTAAATAACTATGTTTATTTAAGAATTTACACTTAAAATAACGAATAAATCCATATTTATAAAAAAAAATTCTGATGTGCATGGCTTTTTAAAACTTAACAGTTCTTGACAAAGATGACTCAAAGGACCAAGCTACTTCACATCTTCACATTCGGAAATCTCTGGATTTCTTTATACAACATACACTTAGAGTTATTTCTATATATTCCTTTTAACTCCCCTGTATTTTCTTTGCTACATTGCCACGAAATTCTATTCTTAAACCAGGTCATACAATGCCTCAATCTGTATATGAACCATAATATATAGAGTCTCCCCCCTCTCCAGTAAAGGTTATAAATGTTCCGATGCGCCAATAGGTCAACACAAAAACCCTCCTCCTCTCGTTTCTTTACCTATGTGTCCATAAAACACACTTCCCAAAACAATTATAACTTTATCACACTCTAGTCTCAATAAAAATTAAAGAATTCAGCAAAATGTATCACTTGATCACAGACCTTCCTTTCTGTGTTTAAAAATACTATGGCACTAGCTCACCTATCTTTTTTAAAAGATAAACTTGTTTGAAACAACAGAAATTCCTTTTCAATAATCTTGAATCAACTGTAGAAAAAAATAATGCCTGATAATTCCTGACTAATGACCAGTGGATTCAAACCATAGCCCCATAGCACAGCTGCAATAATGTTGCCCTCTCCTTTTTTTTTTGGGGGGGGGAGGAGGAAAATCGGAGGGGGCTACATTATTGCAGCTACACAGGCATGGATTGGACTACAGAAGGGGACTTAATAGTTAAAATGTACAAAAAATATAGGACAAACTGGACACAAAGCATATGCAAAAAGGGGAGGGAGGTTACAAGTACTGTTCAACATATTCCAACCCTTGTTTATTACTTTCAATACAGTTTATGTTTTTTGCCCTGTTAGTGTAAAGCTTTTAAGAGTTAGAGATAAGTGGGTACTTGATATTTGGTTGTAATAGTTCCAGGTAATTGATGTAATAATATTTTCAATTTATTGCAGAAGTTTATGTAACAAGAGAGTTCTTCCTAACAGTAAGTTATTCATTGCAGTCATAACTGGCTTCACTTTGATATATGATATTGGGCTTTAAAGTATTTATTTGCTTATTTATTTTTGACCACTATCATTAAATGACAAATGGAGAAAATAGAATGCCTTTGAATTAGTTTTTCTTTTTTGATAGTGATATACAGATACATGTAACTCTCTCATTTCAGTATTACAACCAACTATGGATTAGTTTGAAAATTATATGACAATTTCATATTATTTTACAAATAGATAAAAATTAAGTGAAAATATAATTTTTATAATTTTTCTTTCAGATATGCGGGCATTCCAGCTACAAAGCACCAGTATTTTTCGTAAATATGTCTCAGTTTTAGATCTGCCTTTGACTCTTTTAACTTCCAAGTTTCTGGCTGTTGTGTCACCTTGGGGATTATTGAAAGGATGGGCAAGTAACTTTGATTTCTTTTAGTACCATTAATCTAAAGAAGAAAAAACACTTTCTTTGAGAAGGATTTGAATAACATACCTTTTGTAGTAGCTTTAATTATTGTAGAAACACAAATTTTCTTTGATTTCATATCTAAAACAGTTTTGTGGGCATTAAATTTTGTCATTTCGAAAGTAACGATATATTGAAGTATTCAATATATTAATATAGTCATGTGAAAATTTGGTATGGGATTTAATTTCATTGATAATTGTAAACAACGAAACAAACACAACAAAATTTTCTGCTTTTACAGTATTTATAAGTGATGTACAGTTGAACTTTGGTATCTAGCACAAATATCTCAAATAACTTAATAGACATGTCAAAATTAACTGGTAGTCCAATCTGCTATCTCTTTCAGTATTTAATCTTGAAATCTCAAATCAATGGATACATTGAAGTTTTTCTTGGGCACATAGAGTTTTTTTAAATAATGAGGTTTGACTGTATTTTGATGCATGTTCAGATATTCATGTATACATGAATGTCCTTAATCATTTTCATTAATTGAAACAACTTGTACATTAAAGCTTACCATTAACTGAAATTTTTCTTTGATTTCAGTGGGCCATGTTGAATCACTGGAGCCAGTTTGTTTGGTTCAGGGCCCTGTACATTGTATTCTCAAGATACATGCTAATGAATACCTTAGAGGAAATTCTCCCCCAGGAAGTATGGCCACCAGAAATAGACGAGGAGGAGGAACCAAAGAAACAGAAAACCAAAGAAGATGGGGAACCTAAACCAAA